TATCTGCATTTCCCATAAATATGCTAAATCCCTCTTGATATGCAAATTATTTTGTCAAGGCGCTCTTCCCCCTCCATCCCAGCTTAAATAGATGCTCTAAGCCTGGGGTGTGTCATTCAGACTCTGTCTTCTCGCCAGACCTGTTCTTCACCTGAGGACGGCTGCTTGCGTTGTGGCCGAAACGTCGTGAGAATTATTTTATTATGTTTAATTTTTATTATTTTATTATTTCCATTCTACGTGACTTTACCGAAAGAACCACGAAGATGAATCCCTGCAGTCAGGAAAGCTTTAAATCGAAATTTAACAAGAAAGTGTTTTCTTTGGATAACGTATCTTTGTGAATAGCAATGGAGTTTGCTTGAGTTGATACATCTCTGTGAAAGCGATTCGAGGTGAATGTAAGAGGTCTCTGTGAGAAGCATCAATGTGAATGGATCACGTAGTAATTAATCACGCAGTAATCTATGACATTACATTTAGTTTATTTACGTGACACGTCTCTCCATCCGCATTTGACGTAAATATAAGTGTCTCGACTTGAATACAGATGTGTTCAGTAAATTGACCTTCATTCACATGTATGTATTTGTAGGGGTGATGTAGGGGTGTTAAAGAGAGGGCCCCTTATGCATGGCAGTCTATGGAAAACAAACACAGTGGGCGGGGCTACGTAAGTGCACGAGGAGGTGCCCTCTACGACGTCCGAGCCAGACACCCTGGGGGGGGGGGCTGGTTCGAACGTTATGATCCCCCGGGGCCCCACCCCTCAGGGAGGGGTTGAGTATAAAAGGGGGTGTTTCAAAGGGCTCGGGAGTTATGTTTTAAGCTAAGGGAAGAAGACTGAAGACGTCTTAGATAGAGCCCTGGACTCCCCTAGTTCGATGTCCTTTTCAGGGCCGGACAGGACTGAGCCAGCGGCGTGGTCCCGAAAGCCAGAGCCGGTGCTCTTGTAAGAGCTGGTCTGGAACTCCGGGTACCGGGCCCGACTTACCAGTGTCGGGCCAGATAGCCTCCCCTAGCCCATTAGTGGAGGACTCGGGGCTAGGACAGAGTTAGCTAGGTGTGTATCCCGAGTTATACGGGTGAGGGGGCCGATACCCCCTCGAGTGTTATATGCCCACTGTCGTATTGTGAAATAATATACGTGTGCCTCAACCTCGGTGTCAAGCGTCCTCACCGGTACTTCATATTTATATTAGACTTCATCATGGGACCTCCTTTGCCAGTACCAAAATATACTAATACCTTTGCAAGGAATCATGCTTACATTAACCACAATACTTGCAGTCAGATGCAAAAAAAATGTAAGCATGATTCCTTGCAAAAGGTGTCAGATTTGTTGCCAGAAAAAAATGGGAAAAACCCTATTAGTATTATATTAGACTGTCAAACACCCAAACGAGTACTCATGGATTATGATAATGTGAGTGACCTGTCAGTTCAAAATGGCCTCTTCACTTCTAGAGACTTCAGTTTAGTAGTGACCTCCATGCTATTTGCCCAAAGCGATCTCTCACCACTCTCATGGAAATATGTTGTTAATGAAAGCGAAATCCATTTACGTAAAGTTTTTAACTAGAGCCATTCTCTCTCATGCAGACATGGGGATTGACACAACCTGCATTCTCTATCATAAAGACGTCTGATCTAAAACAACTTAGACTTACTTCATATGAAAATTAACAGTTTACACGATTCCAGTTAAATTCCATCGAGATCTGCCAGTTAAAATTATTTCATTTACATGCAAATACATCTATGATTTTAAGATACCTCAATTACTATCAAAGAGAGAAGTGTCAGATAAATCCACTTAATTAAATTTCAAAGATAACCGCGTTATTAATTACCACGTGATCGATTCACTTTGATGCCTCTCAGAGACATTTTACATTCACCCCGATTCGCTTTCACAGAGATGTATAAACTCAATCAAACTTTATTCAGGTTCACAAACATCTTATACAAAGAAAACACTTTTATGCACGTCCGGAGGCTGTAGCTCCTCAGGGTAACGAGTGAGGGGACCATATACCCCACTTCAGACACCAGTTGTAGTGTTGTAAAGGACTGACTTCTAAACTTCTTTATGGCACACACTGTTTATTGTCTTAATACACAGTCCATATCACACAAAGGGGTATATGTTCCCCTCACCCGTTACCCTGAGGAGGTACAGCCTTGTACAGCTCCACACTCACGCTTAGCTCCTATTCTAAGGAGGTACAGCCTCCGGACCTTGCAGGCTATCTAATCTCCCTGCTATCCCAGCGTCCTCTGGCTGGACCTAGGGGATCTCTCCCCGACCACTGGTTACACTAAACCCTAGCCCTAATAAGGGCTGGAGGGCTTGGTCCAGGGTCCTAGATGTCTTCGGCCGACTTGGGTCTTCGTGTAGCAGACCTGGCCAAGAGCTCTCAGCGCTCTGGCTTTTATACCTGTTCGTGGCCGGGTTGTCCAATCCACGGCCACCTTGTGGAACCCTCCGATTGGTCCTTCCCAATCTGGCGTTTGGATCCTACCTCACCCCATTTGACCCTGACCGTTTGATTGAGCGGGAAAACCTTGTTCACGATCCGCTCTCTGACAGCTTGCGAACAGCGAGTAGTTATCACCACTACACAATTATAAACATCTGTCAGGTAAAATTACCTCCATTTTCATTGTCAAACCTATACATATAGCGCTTAGGGGCCGTCCATAAATGTCCCGAGGGGGGGGGATGGGGGTCAGACATTTGTGACGATGTGTGACGAGGGGGGGAGGGGGGGAGGGTGGGGTTTGAGAAATGTGACGTCAAATCAAAAAGTGCAACTTTAAATCAATATAAATTTAATATAATTGTTATAACGGCACAAATTTTGATACATTTTAATTATTGATCCATGGGAGAATGGAGAAGCATAAATGTAGCAAAAAATAAGTTTAATGATTGTTATGAAACATTTTGATTCCAATGATTCTACCAGGGCTTTTCATTCAGTGAAATGAATATGTGATTGTTATAATTGTACTCTCCATTTTGCTTCGTTCTACTACAAAGTGTCAAGTATTTTATTATAGTCATAATAACTTTTAATATTTGATAATTATTAGAGAATTTCAATATAATTTTCTGAACATCTGCAGTTTTAGTTAGATGTTGAATATTTTCAAGTGAATTTTATGATAAATTTCAGATTTCCAACGCCTCTTTTTTAATACATGTTTTCTCCTACAACATCAAAGTGCAGCGCCACATTAAATACGCACTACAATGATAATAGCGCCACATTAAATACGCACTACAATGATAATAGTTTTATTTCAAAATTATTTGAAGCATGTTTTATTTTCCAAATGGAAATACGGTTTGGTGGGGGGGGGGGGGGCAGATCTTTGTGACGTCATATTTGAGGGGGATCTGACTTTTTGTGACGCCGTGTGACGAGGGGGGAGGGGGGGGTCAAAAATCGGCCAAAATCGCGTGACGTTATTTATGGACGGCCCCTTACACATGCGTTACATTGTGTGTGTGTCAGGGGTCTGTAGCCTGCGAATCCGGAGCCGAATGCGGCTCTTTGGCTTCCCCCTTGCGGGCAGCCGTTTTTTACATAAATCTAAAACGTAATTTTACGTAAAGATAATTTAATAAATATGGCAATGGAATGCATCACTATGGAATGTTTGAGTGACAACAAATGTACAACAAACTGTATTGTTAAAGAATCACTAAGGGGGTGGGGGGGGGGGTAACGAAATGGACGCAGTTGATTTCATCACCTATGTTGTTTATTTAAGTCATAATGTTTGTTATACCCGCTGCTGTGCACAGGTAGCTCTGCGTGTGATGGACAACGTACGGATGTGACGTAATAGTCCATCTAACAGACTGAGTACTGAACATGGGGGAGGAACGAATGAGTGGAGTTCTTAAAAAAAGTATGTATGTTGAACTTTTTTTTGCACCGTACGTAACTAACTGTGGGACTCGGAGGTGCGGGGGAAGGACAACAAGCTAAACGCAAAAATCAGTTTAACGAAACCAGTTTTCAATTTATATTTCAAAGTGCATAGCTCCATGTGCTTTCAAATTTCGGAAGAGCATTCCAGACTGCTGCAGAAGCGCAGTAATGATGGTAGTGGCGACAGAAGAGTGATAAGGAGGTGACTGGCTGCAGGTTAGGGAGTGATTGGACAAGTGAGTGTTGTATTATATCATCAGTCAACCTGACTGCTTTATGTTGCATTTTTTCGAGAGGTCGTCACTGGGTGCTCTACTGTTTATTTGACACCACGGTTCAACGGCGGCCGAATGCGTGCTTTGCATAGCAGTCGAGATGGTTGTTCAGAGTTAAATAAGCCTTTGGTGTGGAGAAGGAAACCAGGCATTCTAGCTGCCTTCATAGGCAGATGACTGACATGGCTGAACGTGGGATACAAATGGACAAAGGGGCCTTAGCTGACATGAACATGAAGCGACATTCGCCAGCAACAACACAAGCACCACGTGAATCCTTCTCTTTGCCTTTCTTTGGTTTACACGACGAAGTGCATAATGGACATGGACAGTGTGGTGACAACACGCACCATCTACTTACCGTCTCAGTCAATGACTCTCTCCATGAGCTGATATACAGTCAGAACTAAGTTAACAACATTGGAGATGGCCACGTGGTAGCAGTACAACCAGAGGGCTCGTGAACCTGTTTGCACGGACTGCTGAGTGTCATTCCCTGCATGGTATGGGCGGTGGGTTTTCTCCAGGGTTTCCTCCAACGTGTCAAACACGCATTTACAATGGAGTTACCACACGCCCCAATGTGGGACCATCCTTAGCACAGTCCTGAGACTGGGTAAGACTTTTCTGGATGAGTTAAATTAGTGTTATTCACATTGACTTGGCGACTCTGAAGTATCATGCTATTTATTACTGTCGCTGGTCTATTCCCTGAAAATCGTATCTGTCCGGAACGGTTCTCACTCAGCTAGTTCCCCTGCAAATACCGCTTCTGCAATTACACTAGGCAGCCAAACACCCCAGCGGGAACGGTCGTCAGCTGGTTATTTTCCAGCTCCAGATACGTCAGCTTCCCCAGTTTGTCAAAGATCCCAGGCGGGAGAGACTTCAGTTGGTTATTGTCCAGCTCCAGATGTGTCAGTTCAGTCAATCGGTCAAACAGAGTGGGCGGTATCGCCTGCAGTTGGTGATAGTCCAGTCGCAGCTTCTTCAGATTCACCAGGCAGTCAAACAGTCCAGCGGGTAGAGCCTGCAGCTGGTTATTTTGAAATGAAAGCTCCTTGAGATTCCCCAGGCTGTCATACATTCTCTCATCCAAGCAAACACTCTTGTTCGCGTACGGCCATGAAACTTACTGATAAGACCCAATGAAGTCAAAACCGGTTAATGTTTTCCAAATTTAAACAAATGGCAATGGTTCTGTATCCATTATATTACTAATAATCCGCTTGTTCGTGTGTCTGTCTGTAACGCACCGGGACTTACAGAAAAAGAAGTAAACAAGTCTGGAGCGGATCTGTCTCCTGTTCTTTCCGACAAGCAGAACGAAAGATCGCGCGTCCATTCAGCCCAATTGCAGTTAGGCCTCGGCAAGGAAAGGTAATTTCCCCTTTTTACCGGGTAAAAGGGTAAAGGGTAAAGGTGTCGACATGCCAAGGGGTAAGGTAAAGAGTAGGGTAAAGGTAGCTCGGAAGAATTACCCTGTAGGGTAAAGGTAGCGTGAAGTATTACCTGGTAAATACGGTGCTTTGTTAACCGCTAAAAGCTCCGTGGCGCAGTCCGTGGCCTCCATTCAACAAGTAATATTAAGACAAACTTTTTTAAAAACACGCTTTTATTAAATGTACTCGTAATGGTAGAACTCCACGACTTCAGGAAGTGGCCCCGAAGCTTGCCATGACGTAAGGGGCCATGGTGATTTACAGCCAACGTCAGTTGACCGTGGACAATTAGACCCAAGCCGAAACATAACATATAAAAAGAATGTTAAGAAATATATATTTGTTTAATGATAGAATATAGTATTGTCCTCAGTATGATATAAGTATACGAAGTTTGCAGCCGATACCACATTAGGAAGTGGGTAAAAATGTATTTGCAAGATTTGAGGATACAACGACAACGACAACAGCGACAACAGCAACAGACAGTGAGTTAATAGAAAGCGTGTAAAATTGTAATCATCGAGAATATTCTATAACAATAAAGCGCTCTACCTAGCATTTACCGTTATAAACCTTGTTGATGTGTCATCATGGCTTGGCTTCACGAACGAAGATCTAGGAAGAACATCCACGTCTTCTGCAAGCACGCTGGTGGCTGAAGAGGCCTATGTGGGACAAGCAGGTCCTGCCACAACGGCTGCAAGTATAGGTCTGATCTGGGATGGGTGCTGAGGGATCACGGTTCTTCCTCCTTCTCCTTTTGTCCTCCATACGGGCCCTGCGGGTATCTTCGAAGAAGGAGGTGGCCTGGTGGACTGTGTGCCGCCAGGAGTTGCGATCAGCTGCTTGTGTTGCCCACTGACGGTGATCGATGCAGCAAGCAGTGAGGGACTTCTTCAGGGAGTCTTTGTATCGCTTTCGTGGTGCCCCTATGTCGCGATGGCCAGAGGACAGTTTTCCATACAGCACAATCTTAGGTAAACGGTGGTTCTCCATCCTGGCGATATGCCCTGCCCAACGAAGCTGTATCTTGAGGACCATGGCCTCGATGCTGATGACCTCCGCTGACTCAAGGACTTCAGTGTTGGCGACGAAGTCACTCCAGTGAATATTGAAGATTGTGCGGAGGCAGCCCTGATGGAAACGCTCAAGGAGACTCAGGTGACGACGGTACGTGACCCAGGACTCAGCACAATACAGGAGAGTGGTCAGCACAACAGTTTTGTAGACGTTGACCTTCGTGTCTCTTTTAAGGTTGCTGTTGTTCCAGACACGTTTGTATAGTCTGCCGAATGCACTGTTTGCCTCGGCCAGCCTGTTGTCGACTTCATTATCGATCTTGGCGTCAGACGAGATCACGCACCCCAAGTAAATTAACTGGTGGACAGCTTTCAGTTATGTTTGTTCAATGAAGATGCTTGGTGGATGGTGCTCCTCATGGGGTGCGGGCTGATGAAGAACTTCAGTCTTTTTCAGGCTGACTTCAAGACCGAAGATCTGAGCGGTTTTCGCGAAACAGGACGTAATTCGCTGCATAGCTGTCTCTGTGTGAGCAAGGAGGGCGGCATCATCAGCAAACAGCAGCTCCCTGATCAGTTGCTCCATGGTCTTTGTGTGGGCCTGCAAACGCCTGAGGTTGAACACGCTCCCGTCGAGACGAAAACGGATGTATACGCCATCAGCATCGTCGAGGTCCTCTGTGGCCTGCTGGAGCATCATGCTGAACAAAATGGTGAACAGCGTGGGAGCAAGAACACAGCCCTGTTTCATGCCGTTTGCAATAAGGGAGGGCTGCAAGAGATCGTTGCTATGTCTGACTTGTCCGAGCTGGTCTTCATGAAGCTGGACGATCATGGTGAGGAACTTCGGTGAGCAGCCTAGCTTTTCCAGGATTTTTAAAAGTCCCTGCATGCTCAAGGTGTCAAACGCTTTTGTCAGGTCGACAAAGGTGACGTACAGCGCTTTGTTTTGCTCTCGGCACTTTTCCCGAATCTGCCTCAGGACAAACACCATGTCTGTGGTTCCCCGGTTGGCTCTGAAGCCACACTGGGTCTCTGGGAGGTGATCTTCAGCTATTGCAAAGTGTGTAGTCCCCTAGTAATACCCTGTAATCGGGTAATTTGTATGGGGTAAGGGTAAAAGGTAGGGTAAAAGGTAGGCTCTTTGCTTTTCACCTTTTACCTTACCTGCTGAAGGGTAAAAGGTAGGGTAGAGTGATTGTATTGTGGTAAGGTAAAAGGTAGGGTAAAGGTAGGCTCGTTGTTTTTACCTTTTAACTTTTACCTTACCTTGCCGAGGCCTAGTCGCAGTGTGGAGAGCGTGCAGCCTCCTCGGCGTGTTTCCTGGAGTTTAGTATTATCCTCTTGTATCAGTCCTGGTCGCGTGTTTGTCTCTCTAACTCTTTTTCCTAGTATTTACTGCAAAATAATTGGGTACGTTGTTTTGTTCTTGTTTATACTTCTATCGACAAAATGTATTGTAATAGAGATACAATCGTTAATGATTATACAGGTAGGAACAATATGTTCCACACTGCCTACCAGGGATTATTTGTATGTCTGACTGTCGTGCATACATATATATATAATATAAACAGCTCTTTGATTGGTGGAGACCTACTGCCGGGTACGGAGAGGGGAGGTGCCTAAGGGAGGAGGGTCAGGGGAGGGGCCTAAGGAAGGGGGGAGTCAGGAGAGGGGCCTGAGGGGGGGAGGTCAGGGAAGGGGCCTAAGGATATGGGGGGGGGGTGGTCAGGGGAGGGGCCTAAGGGAAGGGGAGTCAGGGGAGGGTCCTAGGGGAAGGGGGGTCAGGGGAGGGGCCTACGGATATGGAGGGGGTGGTCAGGGGAGGGGCTTAAGGGTATGGGGGGTGGTCAGCGGAGGGGCCTGAGGGGAGGGGGTTCAGCGGAGGGGCCTGATGGAGGGGGGGGGTCAAGGGAGGGGCCTAAGGGAGGGGGGGTAAGGGGAGGGGCCTAAGCAAGGGGGAGGGGCCGATAGTTAAGAGGGCTGGCTACCTGGCTGGCTGCCTGGCGACCTCAAGTCAAGTTATCTTTTATACAGGTAAGAACAACAGGTTCCACACTGCCCACCAGGGAATATTTGTCTGTCTGTCGTGCATATTTGTCTGTCGTGCACGAATGCGCTGTCCAACTAGGTTCCTACCTGCTCACTCCGAAGGAACTTGTTCAGTTATTTTCAGCATACTGTATATATGAAAAATACGTGATTTGAAGATTTCGTGACTGCAGGAATCCATACTCGTTGGTTCTTTCGGTAAAGTCACGTAGGTAGAAGAGTATGCAAAATACATATTTCCGCTTGAAATCACCCAATGTGTGAAATCGTCAGTCTCTGTACATATCCGCCATGCTGTAGCTGTAGAAGTTCCACGCTTTCCTGCTCATAATAATTAATGATAATTTAGCCACTTGTCAATCCACTGCAAGATAAAAGCCTTCCCACGAAGCGCTGGTCATATGTGGGAGCGACATGGGGGTTCTGTTAGCTATACTTCACCACGTTGGTAACTGTGGGTATTTGTTGTCTGGTGGATTTGGGATGATGTCACCCAATTTTTAACCGATTGCGCTACCCACTGCACCAGCACTCCCGCCCACCACAGTGTGTTACATTTACAATTCTTAGCTCAACATTACCCAGCATCATTTGCGAACAACGCTATGATTCACGTGCAGAGACGACCCAGAGAAACTTCAACAACTTGGCTTGGAGACTCAGCAAGTGCAATGTTAGTTTACAATGTATATGTGTGTTGAACTTCTGCCCAACCAACTATGCCAATAGGAAGTGCACGGCGTTGCTCGACTCTGTCCATGATATTACACTTTCACGCGCTCCACGTGACCACACATTTTCAGACAGTTGGGGAGGCAGGCAGGGAGTTAATGCGCCAACCCGCAGCCCAAACTTTACAGAATGAACCAGCTGACCTGCACCAGCCCATCGTGGAAAAATACCCTTCTGAGGAGCTCTCTAAAGCTCCCTCCAATGGAGGCCCTTCCGATATCAGTGGCGTGAACCTGGCAGGGCTGCACCTTGATCTGTTGCTCCTCGATGGTGACATTGTCAACTGATCATTGAGCACGATGAGCGCTCGAGCCACGTGTGAACAGCACACGATGGGAAGAGCGACCCAGTCTCCAGGCAATGCTCTTCAACTGGTTTAGGTCCAGACCTAAGTGAGTCAGTGTCGGCAACTTCCCTACGCCTGCGGCAGAGGTCACAACAAGGTACCCGATACCCGTACCCTATACGATACCCGGCTACCCGTACTCGGCCGGGTACGTGTACGGGTACCGGTTTGCGACCCTGGTGCGGCCGGGTACGGGTAGGCCGTGAGTCACTGTTGTTTAACCGTTTGTCACTCATTTCCTAACGTCTTGTCTCTTCTCACAATTCAAGTTCCTAGAATCAACCCACCCGCGCCTGCAACATGGCTTTATCCCAGAGGTCGCAATCCGGTACTCGTACCCGTACCCTACCCGATACTCGGCCGGGTACTGGCAGCCGGGTATCGGATAGGGTATGGGTACCCGTTTGCGACCCTGGTGCGGCCGGGTACGGGTACGGGTAAGGAATCAAAACCCGTTTGCGACTTCTGGCCTGCGGGCAACTCCGTAAATTTG